CTTCAAAAAGTCATGCTTCATTTGTGTTCTCCGCACCAAAATATATTTTTCAATAGTAGTGCACAATGTTTTATCCCTTAAAACTCAGAACTTATTTCTTGTGCCATTTAGTCTTCTCCGACGATGAGTAGGCGACGAAACGTTAGAAAGTGAGCAGCGATGAATATATGAGTAATTTTGTGCGAACCATCCTTAATATAAGCGATGATGCCAAGTCAAAGGCTCGGAAACTAGAACGATGCGTCAAAAACATATATGTATATACGTATATATATATATATATATATATATATATTTGCACAAATGTATGTCAATATAGATATATTATATGCATCACAAATATATAAATATCAATCTATATACATATGTGTATGAAATGTACATGTGGGACGGATTTTTGACAACACTTTCTGTCACCTCGTGTCCTTGCGATCCCAGGTATTGTGAGCTCAGCTGCGTGAGTCCATGATTCGAAGCTGGCCCGTCACCTGGGCGGGGCCGGTTCCTCCCTGACATATTCAGAGGACGTCAGTCGTGTCGGGGATAGGACACACCCGCCAGCAACGCCGCACCTCGTCCTCCGCTTGACCTCGTCCTCGGTCAGTCGTATCGGGGATAGGGCACACCCGCCAGCAACGCCGCACCTCGTTTTCCGCTTGACCTCGTCCTCGCCGCTGGCGCCGCCACCGCCGTCTGACCCCGCCTATTGACATCCAGCATAGCTACCTCCCTCACGGTGCACCCCGGCCAGCACGTAAGCTGTAAATGTGCGCATACAAATGCCGGACCGCCTGCCCACTGGCGGTCTGATGACGTCACCCGTGACGGCAAGACGGTCGTCGGCGCGACGCCCATGTCCGCGGGCCGATATATGTTCTGATGTGCCAGCCTGTGGCGCAGTAACCCTGCTGCAGATGTTGTTGTCCTGCAAGCTGGCCATCCATATTGTATGGCGTCACTCGCTTCATTAGCATTATAATCTGGTGTCCGCTCAAGGCCTTCCGAGCAGGCAGAACCCCCAGGGTCTGATTGCGCTTCAGGTCAAAGTTATCACTGGCATGCAGTCTGCATTTGTATGGGGGGTAAAGGATACACAAAATGTATCTTGATGTACCGGACAAACGCCCCTGTATTTCCATTGCCAATGATCCCATTGTGGAGGTTGGGGGGAATTAGAGTCATCTGCATATAATAGCATGCTGAGAATCCGCGAACTATCCAGTCGACAAAAAGAGAACATAGGAACGAAGATCAACGCGCTCACTTTCAGGAGCAATCTTTTGTAATCACATCTGGTTCGATGGCTTAAAGAAATTCCTGATTGCTGCTATTAGTAATAGGAGAGACTTGGCCGCCGTCTTCCTGTTCCAATAATGAAAGAAATGCCTGGCATTGAGATTTGCCCCACAGTTTGCACTTCCGCGCTATCATCCATTTGCTGGTCGGAGAGGACAGGGAGAGATGGGACAAAAGGAGAGAGAGAGAGAGAGAGAGAGAGAGAGAGAGAGAGAGAGAGAGAGAGAGAGAGAGAGAGAGAGAGAGAGAGAGAGAGAGAGAGAGAGAGAGAGGCGGGGCATGTCTCTACGTCTCCTGATGCGTGCGACAGACCCGCGTGGAGCGTATGTCTGACACGGCCCGTGTCCGCAGGGTACGGCCACATCGCGCCTCGCACGGACGTCGGCAAGCTGGCGACGGTGGCGTACGCGCTGCTGGGCGTGCCACTCACGCTGCTGTGTCTGACCTGCTCGGGTCAGCTGATGGCCAACGCCCTTCGGCGGACCTACAGGCGCTACGGGCAGGGTCACCGTGGCCGGCGGCCGGCCAGCGAGGCGCCCTGGACCGGGACCGAGACCAGGACTGGGACCGGGACAGCGACGTGGGGCGAGGCCGGGACTGGAACGCTCGCTGACGGATTGCCGGGCGCCGCCGAACCTCGGGGTGCGAGGCGACACTCGTGCGGTCGCGTGGCGACGGCCGCCGGGCCGCGGACAGTGTGGAGGCATTCCGGCGGCTACGCGGCAGCGTGCGGGGCGGATGTGGTGATGGCGGAGTCCGACGCCGCCTGGCGGAACGCAGCCGGTGCTGCGGCGACAGCGGTGCCGGCGGCGGAGAGGAGCGACTCCAGCGCGCGCGCCGAGCCAGCGGCCACGTCGGAGAGTGTCGCGTCGAGGTCGACCTGTCGGCAGGACGTGCCGCCTGAGCCACCGGGCGCGCGAAGTGAGTGTAGGGTGATGGGGGGCGTGCCTCCCACAGTCGCGGAGGAGACCGATGTTCAAGTGGGCGGGAGCTTCTCTGAACTTGTGCATTCCGAGGCTCCGACAGGAGCTATAGTCAAAGATGTGACTGTCGAGCTGAGCATCACAGCTGACGGATCCAGTCCACTAGACGTTAGAAAGCTCGATGCCAGCCGGGATCACCTGCCGTGTCTGGGTGACGGCGAGGCAGAGCGCGCATGGCCGACCCTGCAGGTCCTGCCCGAGGGGAACACGACGGCCTCCTGCAGCCACGTGACATTCTCCACCCCGTGCGCCGCCCAGCGAAGTACATCACGACCCGCGCCTCCGCGGCGCAAGAGCAGCCTACTCAGTGAAGGCCGCGTTGGCCGGGTGGTTGCCGAGTCGAGCCGGCGCCTTCTGCAGCGAGCATCCGACTCCGCCTCGGAGCCGGCCGCCGACCGCACGCTGTGGTCCCGGCCGTGTGAGGCGCCGGTGCTGCAGGCCTGCGGGGGCCCGCTCCCGCTGCCGGCCCCCTCTGGCACGCTCCGCCGGCCACAGACCGACCGGCCGCCGGCGGGGACAGAGGCCGACGCCCGCGTGGTGCGCCGGCCGGTCTCCCGTGCCATGGCCGCCGCCGCCGCCGCCGCCGGGCCGCTGTCGGCCTCCTCCAGTGGCGACTCGGGCGTCTGCTCGGTTTCCACGCACCGCCGCGCCGTGCCGACCGCACTGACGCCGGCCGAGGATCCAGAGAAGTCGGCAGCCACGTGCCCGGACGGCCCTGTGCCCGTGCTGCTCGTACTCGCGCTGCTGGTGGGCTACGTCGGCACCGGCGCCGTCGTCTTCAGCTGGTGGGAGGGCTGGCGTTTCGTGGATGGCGTGTTCTTCTGCTTCCTCACCCTGTCGACGGTGGGGTTTGGGGACATGACGCCGGGCGCAGGTGACCTGACAATGAGCGCTACGGGCGCCGTGGGCGTGGGCGCCTGGACGCTGCGCGAGGAGCCTCGGCTGGTCTTCTGCTGCCTGTACCTGGTGCTGGGCCTAGCTGTGATCGCCATGAGCTTCGGCCTGGTGCAGGACCAGCTGGTGGCCCGCTGCCGCCAGCTGGGCACATGTGTGCCCGGCCTGAGCGATAGCCAAGACATCAGCCACAGATGA